GTGTGTGTGTGTGTGTGTGTGTGTACATATATACATAAATACATTGTGTGTGTCTATTATGTATATGTGTGTGTGTGTGTGTGTATATATATATATATATATATATATATATATATATATATATATATAGAGAGAGAGAGAGAGAGAGAGAGGTCTCACTCTGTCAACCAGGCTGGGGTGCAGTGGCATCATGTTGGCTCACTGCAACCCCCACCTCCCAGGTTCAAAGGATTTTCATGCCTCAGCCTCCTGAGTAGCTGGGATCACAGGTGTGCGCCACCACATCCAGCTAATTTTTGTATTTTCAGTAGAGATGAATTTTCACCACTTTGGCCAGGCCGGTCTCCAACTCTCAACTTTGCGTGATCCACCTGCCCCAGCCTCCCAAAGTGCTGGGATTACAGGTGTGAGCCACCACTCCCAGAATTTTCTTTTTGTTTATTTGGAATATTGTTTATTTGTTTATGTACCTCTGGAACTTTTATTTGTTTATGTAGCTCTCTCTACTGGAACATAAGCTTGATGGCAACAGGAAATGTCGTTTTGTTCATTGCTATAGTTTCCAAGCTTAGAGAGGCTCTGGTGGACAGAAAGTAGGCAAAATACACTTGCCAAACGAATGAAAATGCCAACTTCAGCACGAAACATACAAAAGGTGCTCATGCAATGCTAGCTTTCATTTTACCTCCCTTCTGCTTTCTTCATCATGGCTGAGAAATTGCTAAATGCTGTTGAAACTGAATCTCTGATTTCCTTCTATCTCCTCCCGACACTGCTGGTGCCCCACATGTGTGAACTGGGCTGTGAGGTGAAGCCATCCATTTGTAGTCTGGGACAGACAGAAACCAAGTATGGAACAAGAATGGAAAGCTCTGGTATCTGTCTAATTCTACCTAAATGAGGCATTAATTTCAATGCTTTGTTCTACTAAATGATTTTGGACATTCAGATCATCAGATGCCTCTATAATCAAAAGAAATCCTTTCCAGAATAAAACGTAAATGGTTCTCAGAAGACCACCTGTTTGGCATGAGCTGTCTTGCTCTCTATTGTTATACATTTTTCAAAGTTGGCTGCTAACGCAAACTTGCAGATAAGTATAAAACAAAATTAACAGCTCTCTTTTCCCCTGGCTACACACCCTGCATTACACAGATAGCAAAACCCATTGGCACAATGTTCCTCAGAGTTGATCCACATGGATGGTTTTTGCTCCTAATGCCAGAATATATGACAATATGCTGGGACCTGTGAATATCTGTCTGGGTGAGTAGTTTTTGTATGAACTTACATGTGCAAAAAAATCTGTTATTTTCCAAATTAAAAATAAACCTCGAAGGCAATGGACTCCAAATGGCTTGCAGAGAGATGTTTAAAAAATATGGAAAGGATATAAGCATGTGTTAAACTCAATGACATTTGGAATAAATATAAAATTTGGTTCCAGTGGTCTCCATTTTAACCTTAGCTGCATTGCTTTCTCTGGTTTTCTGAAGATGTTCATAGATGCTTGTCTTGAAGAGAAAAAATACAAATTAGTCATTAATTATCCTAAGATTAAATCTGTGCTTTTTTTTTTCATCTGCCATATTGTGGACAGGAACTGGAAAGTAGCTAAGAGAAAATGGTTTAAAAGCGAAAAGAAATTTGCATTAGGGAAGGAGGGATTTACTCATACTTTGGAAGTCAAAGAAAAACACTGCAATCCTGTCAGCACCCGGAAGGCACCATTTACTATATGCTGTCTCTTTCATTGCAAGAGGACACAGATTGTATTTTTAGCGCAGTAAACAGCAGATTCTACTGTGGGAATCCTTGCAGTTGGTACCTATAGCAACCTCATTTAAAATGTTATAAAGCTTTAAAACATCAGGAGTTTAGGCAGTCAGTCATATATACCTCCATACAGACATTCAGCCACTCATACACACACATGCTTGTCCACACACTGATAGTAAATTGTGTGTAATATTATATTACTCATGGAGTTTTCCTCATTGAATCGTGTTTGACAGCCATGGTAAAGAGCTGAGAAAAATCAAATACTCTAGCATTGCAACCAGCAGCAAGACCATATTTGTACCTAAATAGCGTATTACACCACCTGGTAAGCAACCACCAAAAAAGAACATTCTTATGATTTAAACATGAAGAATTCGACTGACATTTTAGAGTTTCTATTTGTAACAGATGCTTCTGATGCCACACCCATGTATTTTTGACACTTACCTTCACATACTAAAGGATGCTACTGCAAAAACCTATGACTTCCTTCTGAAAAAGCTTTTTTTATTCTTTTTGATAAGTTTAGTATTAACATTTTTCTCTCTCTCTTTTTTACTTTCTGAGAGTTTTTTGGTGGTCACAAAGAAGAGTACAGTTAGCCTGTGTTCAGAGAAAGCCAAAGGGCTGGAGGGTTAATGTGCCCAAAGCATCCCCCAAAGTCCTGACAGAAAAGAAAGGTAAGCTCAAGACAGAGGAGCCAGGATTTGAAGTATAAATACATGAGCTTTCCTGTGGTTGGCTGGGATCATTTGGGGTGATGTTCCCATGGTCTCCTGCAGTTCCACATTAGATTTAAGCTTCAGTTTCCATGGTGGTAACCAGTTTGACAACACTTCCCTCATTGGCTTTATTTCTTTTCCTATTATACTTCTTCACTTCCCTACTGGTGTTTTATGGGATCACTCCCCATTAAACTACATGGATTCTAAACCTTGTATCAGGGTCTACTTCCAGGACAACCCAAACTAAGACACCATCTTCAGTCTGTATTCCCTTCTGTTAGGATAAGATGTAATATTCATCAAATACTCTGGAACACACATCCCTTATGGATTCCTCAGAAATGGGGTCCTCGCCAAAAGCACAAGTCCAGAAAAGTCTCACAATTAGAAAGGTATTTATTTTAAAATATCTGAATGTTTTCCCCATAGCATAAACACCTGTAATGGTAGAATAATTCTTAAAACAATAGAGAACTTATGATAGAAAGCTATTTGAGTAGATCTAGGGGTAAATAGGAGGATAGCCACTTATCTTTTTTTCTTTCACTCCTTTCTTTTTACTGCTACCCACATATTTTCTCAATATAAATGTGTCTCTCAACTTGATTCTTCTGTGCAAAAATGTATTTGCTGGTTCTATTCAACAAATGCAATCAACATATCAAAATGAACATTTACTCAGCATTTCCATACACTTGGCACTGACTTTAAAACCAATGCTGTAGTCCCCACAGCTTGTTACTCTATTGCAGAGATAAGCCTTCAACATATGGTAAAACATAAAATAAATATTAGGAAGTATAAATATTCAAGCATGAAATTTCATGGTAATTAAAAGAATTATATGTAGAAACAGCTCCAAATGCCAAATATTGTACTGTAGCAGCAGTTCAGATGAAAGAAAAGTGAAAACAAGTAAAAAGATACCTAGAACCATCTGCATTTTAGGCTTTCATATTACAGATAAATTCTTAAACCAATGACCTGAAGGCCTCAGTTCATTCTGCATGCTTTTGGATGATGTGAAACAGCAAACTATTCCGGCTGGTTACCTATAATCCATTCATTTGATCAGTCAACCAAAATTTGTTTCCTCCCAAATACACATCAGTGAGCAAAATAAAATTCCTGCCCTCGTGAAGTTTGTGCTCTAAAAGGACAAACAGTACATTAACAAGTAAGCAATTACATTTATAATATAATGTTAGGTAACAGGACTCTAATAAAAAATAAAGCAAGCATGGTAGAGCTAGAGAATAATGATCTCATGATTATTTTAGATAGGGTGGTCAAGAATGGCTGCTCTGAGGGCACCTTATTTGAACAGGGGGAACTAGCTCCCAAAGAAGTGAGAATAAAATATTCCAGGAGAGGAAAAAAACAGTGCAAAGGCCCTGATATAGGGATATGATTACCATGTTAAAGGAAACATAAGAGGTCAGGATGAGTAAGTAAAAGGCATGTCACAAGAGAGAAGGTGGGAGGGCAGGCACGAACCAGGGGCTACAAGACTAATAGGCTGGTAGTCAGTGCTTCATTCTGAATGGGTGGAAAGCTACTGGAAAGCTAAAAATATCACTCTGGCCATCATGCAAAGAATAGACTAGAGAGAACAAATGTAGAAGAAAAAAGACCAGTGATGAGGCTAGTGAGAGATGATGGTGGCTAGTATTAGAGGGAATGATGAGAATGGTAGTAGTGGAGGAAATGAGAAGTTTGAGAATTTGGGTTAGGAAACAGAAAAATAAAGGAATGACTGTCAGGTTTTTTACTTAAACAGTCTCATGAATGGTGGCACCAATTACTGAGGTAGGGACAGCTAGACAAAAAGCAGGTAGATGGCGGCAGAGGCCAAGAATCTTTCTGAGGCATACTGAGTCTGAGACGTCTATTATCTTTCCAAGTCAAGTCAGTTGGCTATACTAAACCAAATTTCAGGGCCAAGTCTAGGCTGAGGACATAAATTGGAAGTCATCAGCATTTGATAGTATTTCAGTCTTGGTCCTGGGGAGCAAAATTAGCGAAAGCAGGAAAAGGTCTCAGGATATAGTCTTGTGACAGTCACATATTCATAACTTAAAAATGACAAGGGAGATCAAAAAAGATATATTAGAAAAACATCAACTAATGAGATAGAGAGAAAACAGAAAAACCTCTTTATGTTTGACTGCAGCAGGTGCTGGCTGAACTCAAATGGGAGTTCCGAGTCACCTTGTTAGTGGAAATAAAAAGACAATGGTCTCTCCAGGGGTCAAGCCATAAAAACTGATAGAAAAAGGAGCTTTGTTTGCATAAGCAAGAAGAGGAAGAAATTTGGAGCACAGCCCTGTTTGGAGGACGTTGGAAAATGGAGAAAAAGAGAGACAAACCACATGACATTTGCCCTACCATTGAACGAGCACTTTAAGTCCTAAAGAAAAGAAAGGTAAGCTCAAAGACAAAGGAGCTGGTTCCATGGCAGACCACTGTGAAACACTGAGCATGATGGCTGCTTCAGGCCCAAGTGCCCGAGCTGGGAGAGCATTGTCCATCCAGCTGTGCACAGAGCTGGGCATTGAGAATCTGCACCTTTGACACAGACACAGGCAATCTCAGAAGGCACAGCAGTAAGGCTGTGAGATCACATAATGACTTAGCATTCCTGTAACACAGGTGTATTGGCAGCAGATTAGCAGACTTCAACTCTAGAATTTAGGCATTCACCAGTACATTTCATTCTCAATGAGCACAGCAAAACCAACTACTTTACAAGCACCCTTGCCTCTACCACAGGCATTGCATTCAGATACAGCTTACCTGCATTGAAGAAGGATGCAGTCCATTCTGCCTCTGTTTTAGGAAATACAGAAACTGGTGGAGGCAGGCCCAGGGCTCTCCCATCCAGGTCCTTGAAGAGATACTTTCTCGGACTTGCACAGTCTAATTCAGGGCAGACTACTTTTCCAAAATCTTTCCTGTGAAGACAGTCAAAAAGCAACTCTCTCATTTCATGATAAGCAGCAAGAAGAAAATATATATTGGTAGTGCTAATGTTGTATAAAATAAATTCAACAGATTTTTAATTATTGATAATGTGTTACATAGATATAAAATAAAACTCTTTATAAAATAATTTATTTCCCATTTATATGGTCAAGAAGAAAGACATTCTAACTAATCAAATATTTTGGATATCTTAATATGTAATCTTTATATAGATTGCTGATTTTTTAAGAAGCAAAATACAATAAAATGTTCCTAACTCTCATTACAAAACATAATTATTTTTAGAAACTTCAGAGTTTTGTATCTATTTATTTTTACAAAATAATACATTACAAAATAATAAATTGATATGTGTGTAATTATTATTATACACATATCGATTATATTTATGCTATATACAAAGAAAACTAGATATTCTCATTCAACAAATATCTATTGACAACCTACAAATGACAGGTCGGGTAACAGTGTTGATAAAGACAGACATGGCACCTGCACTTTCAGAATTTAGAGTCAAGTGGGCTACATAAACAATTAAGAGATAATTATAACACTGAATTATAGAGAACTTATTTTATTTCCCCTAATCTAATACTTTGAAATACTATTAGTAATAATATAATTATTGTATACCAAGAATTATCAGTACAAAGATTGAGTATTTTCAGTACAAAGATTAAGATGTTAATATCACATAGCACTATGATTTGAATGATGGTCCTTTCAAAATTCATCTTGAAACTTAATCCTTAATAGAACAGTATTAAGAAGTGTAGCTTTTGGGAGGTGATAAAGTCAGGAGGGCTCAGCCCTCATGGATGAGATAACACCTTTTTAAAAGGACTTGAGAATGAAGAGAGTGCTCTCTTGCCCTTCCATTTCTTCTCCCATGTGAGAGCACAGCTCTTCCCTCTGAAGGATGCACCAAGAAGGCACCATCTTGGAAGCAGGGAGAAACCTTCACCAGACACCAATTATGCCAGTGTTTGATCTTGGAATTCCCAGCCTCCAGGACTATAAGAAATAAATTTATGGCAAGGTACAGTGGCTCATGCCTGTAATCCCAAAACTTTGGGAGGCTGAGGCAGGAGGATCACTTGAGCCCAGGAGGTCAAGGCTGCAGTTAGCCATGATTGTGTCATTGCATTTCAGCCTGGGCAACAGAGTAAGACCCCATCTCAAAAAATAAAATAAATAAATTTCTGTTCTTCAAAAATTATCCAGTCTGTGGCACTTCGTTATTCCAGCACAAAGACATGTAACTTTACAACTATTTCAGCCCAAGGGTAAGACATGGACATAAGGAAAATTCAACAGTAAATTTTAAAAAATGATACAATAACACAAATTGCCTACCTAATCATGTTTAGCTACCTATAATGATTCAGGAATGGGCATCAAAAAGAGACTGGTGTTAGGCCAAACACATGAATGCTTTAATTAGGGTGGTTTCTTTTTTTTTTTTTT